TAAGCAAGCCAGGTACCCATCTTGAACATTAGAATGGTTCTGAACCTCTATCTCCCTACCCAGTTATAACTGCTCATATCTCTCTCCGTTTCCTCAACTACATTCGAAACAAAACCCTGAGTTCCTGAGAGCCCTGGACTCTACAAGCGGCACTGAAGGATGAGCAGAATAAAATCTGCTCTACAAGACCTAGTTTCCCTTCCCCTAATTACTATGCCCCTTGCTTCACGAAAATACTGTCTCCAAAACAGAACAATTTTAGATCAAGTCTTGCTGTCTGCAATAATATTGTAATTAATTTGAAAGGCACTCAAAACTTTCCTAACTAGATTAAGACCGAAACACAAAAACAACATTAATGAATCATCATGGAGGAAAAGGTTTCCAAAAGAACGACTGAATCAAACTTCAGTCAGGGAGAGCCACAGCCTCAAGGGAAATTATTTAGTTACTAGCTCCATGTCCAATGTTAAGTGTATGGGTGAGTGTGACCTCATTAACAATCTTTCAAAAAAGGAAAGAAAAAATATGGTTAAAGTCACGCTCACCAAGCAAGCACAGCACTCTCGCCAGCATTACTTCATCCAATCCTAGCATCTCTTGGAATGTCTTTTATATTTGGCTGTCCCTAAAATTAGTTCAGAGGAGGCTACATTTGGGTCAGGTACTGTCAAGTCCAGTTACAGAAGATGGATGAATTCTCTCCTAAAAAATATGATCAGTTTTTCACCCAGTATTTTTACTTTGTGGAGGAAAGCAGAGATTAAGAATACCTCTGTGGAGCTGGTGACCAGCTAAGAACCCTCTCCTTCGGGAAAATTCACTCATAATGTGTGACATATAATTTTACAAATAAAAATACAGGGCCACAAGAGCCTATTGACATTCTCACCAAAATGACAGAGGCTTAGGAGCCCTGGGCCAAGCAGTAAGCCAAATTCACGATTTCAAAGCAGCGGTGAATTTACTGAGTAAAGCAAGCAATTCAGCAAGTAAAATTTTAATACATAAAGTCAATAGGCTTACTGTTTCTTAAATAGGTTTAATGTTTCCTAAATCAACAAATGCATAAGCAGACTTATAGAAAATGCTGCATGGTAAATAACGTGAAAGCACAAATACATGAATTAAAACAGAATGGCCCAGAGCACCAATGGAATCAAGTTTTCTCAAGTGAAAAGTTCTAGTGTGACAATATGCTCTCACTAGACTGTTTCACACCATATTCAAATGAAAAATCAGAAGATACAGGTGAATTCAGGTACTGCAGTTTGAGCATATGCCCAAAGGGCTCACATGCAAGCACCTCAATACAGCAGCATTGAAAGGTGGGACTTGGGGGAAGGGACGGGACACAGTCCTCATGAGTAGTTAAAAATTTTTCTCTCGTGAATTCATTCTCCCTCTTGAGAAACTGGAGGTTTCTGGGGAGAGATGGCTGTTAAAAAGAGAGACTGTCCTTTTATCTTTCTTTTTAATACACTCCCCTGCCCTCCTGATTTGCACCAGGAGTTAAGCATCACAAGCTCTCAGCAGATGCAGCCACATAATCCTGGATTTCCCAGCCTGCAGAATCAGGAGCCAAAATAACCCTCTTTCTAAATCACTCAGTATCTGGTATTGTTACAGCAACAGAAAACAAGAGTAAGGTAACAGACACGTGTTTGTCTTGGTGCAGATGACTGTAACAGAGCACCAAAGGCTAGTAACTTCATCGTAGGAATTTATTTCTCATAGTTTGTGAGTCTAAACAAATCCAAGATCAGGGCACCAGCGGATGTTTTTGAGGAGACTTGTTTTGAGGGTGGCAGATTGGAATGGGTGCTTTCTCCAACCTAGAGGAGCAGTAATTCCATGCATGAGGGCAGAGCCCTCAGACTTAATACCTTCTAATCCCACCTCCTCATACTATCTTACTAGCAATTAATTTCAACACACGAATTTGAAGTGGGGACAAATCAGACTCTAGCGATAGCCTACCAAACTGATTGAAAAACAAGAAAGTATATCTGGGTTCATGCAAAAGAAAATGACATAGTACCTAGAAATAGGACCTTGCATGAAAATAAGGGCACTGCTAACGGGGTCATTCTGGAGTACATGGGCTCCTAATCCAACATGGCCGTTACCCTTGTAAAACAGAAGCTTGAGCACGAATACAGACACTAATACCATGTGAACAGGAAGACAAGATCAAGGCAATGTGTCTACAAGTTAAGAGCAGCCAGACTTTCAGGAGAGCCCCACAGTTGGAAACGAGGCATGGGTCAGCCCTTGCCTGGTGCTGTCAGAGGGAGCATGGCTTTCCTGCTGCAGAGACCTCAACCGTCAAGCATCTCCACCCCAGGCTAAGTGATTCAGGACATCCCTGATGTCTAAGTCGCTGCGTTGGTGGTACCCTGTTACACAAAACCTATCAGATTCATGATGAAAGGGTCTCAAACAGTTTACCCTATAAAAGACTTCCTTGCGACGGCATACAGAATGAATTAGGCACAGACACCATGTATGTACCACATCAAACACATAAACATGAAGTAATGGGTTTTCGGCATTTTAACCAGAACCAAAGCTATTTTTACATAGACAGCTGCGAGTTCAAACAAGGTTGTATTTGAACACTGACACTACTGCTGATAAAATGAAACCTCAATATACATAAAACTCACTGAAGGCAGGATAATAATTGCTCATCTGTCCCATTTCACAATAAAAATTGTTCATCTGAATTACATGGTAACTATTGACAACAGGGAGAAATAATCAATTCTAATAGGAAAGCCACTGGGACACACCCTAATCAGGATTCCCAAACCAGCGGTACTGACCCTAAAGGTATATTCTTTTATTAACAAAATCCCACCCACCCCTGGATAACACAAGCAAGAGGCTCAGTTGCACAGAAACGTGAAACGTCCCCTCCACGGACCAGCATGGAGGTCCTCAACAGGGGCAGCTCCGGGCCTGACACTTGCTCTGTAGCTAAGGTCAGATTCAGGAACCAGTGTGGGGAAATGGCTGCAAAAGCAGGCCCTGACCACTTCCCTCCCAGCTCTGAGCACAGAGACACCAGCCCTGGCTCTACACACCCTCTAGAATACACAGGCATGCACAGGAGTGACCTTTGACCCCACGTGTTTAAAGACCGGGTTCCTTTAAGTATGAACAAGACAACACAACTTGCCTCTTCACCTTCAGAATAAAGGGCTTTTTCAGCAAAGGAAGGAAGTTCACCCTGGTAGAGCTCCTCCAAACCTGGAGAAAGGCTCCTGTACTGCACCCCAGTCTCTCCCCGCTTACAGGGGTCACTGAAATGGGTCTGACAGCCATTATGCCTGTTACCAGATCTACAGCGTCTCCTCCAGATGCTTCCAGGTACCTCATTATTACCAGTGGAAGAGACGGGATCTGACACCAACCAAGTCATTCTTAACGTTAATAGCTATCACTTATTAATCGATATCGCGATATCTATGCATGCTCTACAAATTCATTTATCTATACTTTACCCCTGAGAAATGAATATTGGTCTCATTTTTAGTGAGGGAAAATTCAAAAATTAGCTTTCTTAAATTCAGAAGGGGGATTCAAATCTTAGCTCTTTCTTCCCCAAAGCCAAAGTTCCTAAATACCTTGCATTAAAAATTTTGATTTTGGTACAATCGGTGCTTCAGTCTAGTTTAGAAATATGACAAGTATAGAACTTTAAAAAAAAAGATTGGTAACATCAAGAAAGTTCTGTAAAACTGAAAAGTTGTCAGATTCCAGACAATTCTAATGATAAAACCAAAAGCAGAAAGCTAGAAGCATTTTCCTAAAAAAGGCTTTTCCCTGCACTTCTAAACGGACAGAGCTAATTTGATGAAGGTAAGGTCCCTCGTGACAGTTGCGATGATGCTCACGGGTGAAGTTCACCTTGTGTCTGTCTCAACACCTTACGCTTTGCTGTTTCTCACGAGTGAGAAAAACCAAAACCGCACTGTTATAGCTAGTTTATGTTAAGGACCTTTAAGGCTAGATTATGCAAAAGTATTTAACCGTTTATCAATAAAGTCTTTGGTTGCTAAATATATCTTAAAATTGAACCTGTTCCAAATGAACAAACGGATTGTAATTCCACACATTATGTAAGAAATGGGTCACATCATCAAGTTTTTATGTATATAAAAATCCTTCGGATTGTCCCAATGGGATTTAAATTATGAGAGTCTGTATTAAATGTATTTAATCACAGCTTATTCACCTCACACAGAAAACCTGGTACATCTAGCAAACAACTCGCCAACCATAAACGGTGATTTTCAAGTTTTTTACAACGGAGTTATGGCCTGGCAGTAAAAATCCGTAGGGAAACTTGAAAAACGCACAGACCACTGATCAAGCCCGGCCTCAAAAGAGCTTCACCAAGGAGTTCTCCAGGGAAAAGTTAATGCATGCAAGCTCCTGGAAGGAACCACAGCCTTGCATGCTGGGAGCCTGGGGAGGCCTGGGAAGGAGGGGTTAGGAGAAGGCGGGGGAGCCAGCGCAGTGCCCAGAGCGCAAAGCGCGGGCACCTCCGCAGCCTGGACCGCGAACACCGGTCCAGCCATCACACCCCAGGACAGTGGGGCACACCGCACCGCAAGGTCACCGCAACCAGGCGACTTTACATAATCTCCAGCCGCTCCGCCAGGCACCTGCCCGGCACCCTCCCTGCGGCGCCCGAGAGCTGCCACGCGGGGAACGACCGACCGCCTGGGAACCCGGGTGGGGAGACGAGACGAGACGGCGGGGCAGAGAGCAGTGATGCCAGGGACAGGGAGCTGGCAACTGAGAGCCAGGATGGCAGGGATGAGGGAAGCAGAGATGCGGCGGCGGCTAGGGAGCCGGGTCGGGGAACGGGGTCAGGGAGCCGGACCGTGGCATAGCGCCCCGCGGGGACCGCACCGAGCCAGGGAGGGTGCAGGGGAAGGAGCTGTCCGTCCGCGGGGCCACCCTCGGCACACCTGCACGCGCCCTACCTGAGTGGCTTTGTGGAACTGCTTCTTCAGCCCTGCCACCGACATGATGGGATGCGGGAGGCGGCGCGCGCGGCAGGCGGCTCTAGACGCGAAGATGTGGCGAGGGTCGCCGGCCCGCCGCTGGTCCTGCGGCCACCGGAGCTGCTGGCGCGGGGGCGCGGCGCGGGACGCGGGCTGCTGCGGAGAGACACCCTGACGTCAGGGCGGGTGATGCGGCCTCTTAAAGGGGACGCGGGAAGCCCCGCCCCGGGCGCAGGCAGGAGGCAGGTGAGCTCTGGGAACCCCCACGCAACTGGGTAGGAGCGAGTGTCCCTACAGGTAGAAGCCTGGGGCGATCTTCAGCCCTAGGGATCCTTTGTGACCCTGGCAGACTGGTCACCGCAGATGGGCAGTCCTGACTCAGGTGACCCAACCTCCAGGTAGCTGCACTGGCGGTGCCTGCAGGCTGCATTTGCCCTTTGAGCCTGGCCTCCCTGCAGCTCAAAAGTAGGGTGTAGGCCTATCTAGATCATGAATAAGTCATTGCTCATTTTATGCCCTGCCTCCTGGCTTGGTTAGCCACAGAAAACATTTCTCTGCCTTGGTTTCAATATCCCTTAGGCTTGTATCACCTTAGGGAAATCCATCAAACCATTAACTTCCACCCCCAGCAATCCCACCCCACCCCCAACCCCTGTTAACTACTTATGATGAAGAGAAGCTCCTATAGCTTGACTGGAACAGAGGGGATATGAGTTATTACTACTGGAGTAGCATTTAATCTTCTATTTACAAAAGCGAAACGGCTGAACGTGAACTTGGCATTCTTACAATTACCATAATGATTTGGGTTTTCATTCTAGTGTCTCCGTATAATGTGGAAAGGCATGGGAGTAAGTTGTACGAACACCACATGTGGACACAGGGTGGGATTGGGCGAAGAGCGCGGGGCAGCACCGGGGGTCTTCCATGCTCATCGTACAAGCAGCCACACTGTCAAGTTTCTCTTGAGAGCTTGCGGGAGAGAACTCAAATGCTGGTCCGTGCACACATACATCACGATGATGAGCAAGAGAGGCCAGAGTGACAGACTCCAAGAGGAAAGTAATTGCCTCCTGTAAGAGTCAGCATGTGAGAAGAAGACATAGAGGAGCAGGAAGGCTCAGTCGGGGTAAGAATAGAGGAGACCAGGATGAGAGATACCATAATAGTTGGAGTCATTATAGCTTTGAGGAGAGGGCTGACACTAGTGAGATTCCCAGCGATGTACAAGGATAACACCAACTGGAAAACTAAGCAATAGCGGAGAGACTACATTAATAGCCTCTCCCTGATGATAAGGTTGATGACTACCTTATATGCCGTCCTAGAAAGTTCATCCTGTGACTGATGGAAGCAGAGACAGATACTCATAACTAAATACTGAACTGACCCCCTGGAACCCAGTAACAGAGATGGAGGAGTGATGAGCAAGGCTGTCAAGACCATGCTGGTAAAACCCACAAAGACAGCTGACTGGACAAGGGGGATCTCTTGAACCCCAGACTAATGGCTGAGAGGCCAACAGAGGACTGGTCAGTGAGGAGGCCTCAGAAATCTCTGGGGCTTTGGGTAATAGACTAGTGTTCACCATGGCATACAAATGAACTTTGGGAGCCCATTCCACATGGAGGGATGCTCTCTCAGCCTGGACACATGGGGGAGGGCCTAGGTCCTGCCCTGGATGAAATGACAGACTCTGGATATCCCCCCAAGGAGGACCTTACCCTCCCTGGGGAATGATGTGGTGATTGGGCTAGGGGTGGGAGGTGGGGGGCTGGTGGAAGGAGAAGAGGGGAGCCGGGATTGACATTTGAAGCACGCATGTTTCTAATTTAATAAAAAACATACATAAAATTAAAAAAAGAGTCCCCATGTGTAAAGAATCAACATACCAGAGATCGGGTTCCTAGAAGTACAGTTCCTCTATTTCCAGACCCCTACTGTCTGGTGTAAGGGAAGCACACACACTTCTAGCCTCTGCAGCTTGAGTGAGGATGAATTGAAGGGTTAGTGCAAGGAGATCCTAGACATGGGCTGGGTACCAGTCATCCTTGCTAATGTGAACCGCAGTACCACAGAATGCTGGAGCAGTGAGCAGCCTGCCTGAGTCTGCACAGCCAAGCCAAGGGAAGGAACAGATCTGTAGTCCTGGCTGCTTTTCACATACCTTCCAATCGGTGACCCTTCTAAACTCCTTGCCTTAAGTGGAGGCATGGAACAAATACTGCCTAGTGGATTAAGGCAGAAGGGACACGCTACTTCTTGGCAAACATTCCGGCTCTCAGTATAAGAGCAACAAGGCTCTCTTCCCTCAGTCACAATTCTATGACACGGTCTGTCCACCACAATCTAGAGTGAGGATAAAGTGGGCCAAAAACTAATGTTTGGTTGGTATTAGGATGGTGAGAAATAAATCTAACTAAATTTAATCCACAGAGGCTGAGGTCATTAAGTGTGAACCTGTTCTCTGTTTTTCTTAGTTTTAAAAAAAGGTTTTTCATCATGTCTATGATGGAAAAAGAATTTCACAGTCATTTTTACCAAAGCTGCCGAGAGACATAGCAATTGATCTGCAAAGTGAGGTGGCTGAGACTGGTGGCTTTGGTCCCAAACACAAAAGAAGTGAAATGGGACCTGAAGAGGCTCCTCAGAACTTTTGAGTCCTTAACCTCAAACCAAGCCAATTTCCACCTTTCCCCAGTGCTCTATCTACTCTCTCTGAAAGCTTATGCTGCTAAGCTACAGAGGAAATACTGTGGGTTCTGCTTAGGAATGCCAAGGCTCTGAATCTACGGGTCTCACTTAAACCTCATCAAAATCAGTGGTTCCATGTAGCTCTCAGTTGATGCTTATGAAAAACTGGAAGGGAAGTGTTGAGCACCTCCATCTGGAAGACATCTTAGAGAGAACTGTTAGGAGATGATATAGGAAGATGCCAAGACACATAAACTGGACCTTGAACCCAAAGATCAATGGTACTCAATCTTCCTAATGATGCAGCCCTTTAATACAATTCTTCATGTGATGGTGACATCCAATCATAAAATTATTTCCATTGCTACCTCATAACTGTAATTTTGCTACTGTTCTGGGATGTAATATAAATATCTGTGTTTTCTTATGATCCAGCTGACTCCTATGAAAGGGTCATTTGACGCCCAAAGGGGTCACAACTCACAGGTTGAGAGCCCCTGCCCACAGTGTTTCCAGGCCAACATCTTCTTAGGGGCATTCATTCTGACTTGAATGCAGAGGGAAATTGCTCTTGGTGCTTAAAGTCCCTAGCATAGGAATTCTTTCCTGGCAAAGGCCCAAAGCACAGTGTGTTGAATCAAAGGTCAGTGAGGAAGAACTTTGATGAACTCACCATATTACCCTCTAGTCTCCTGGGATAAAATCACTGTAAGATGGTAAATAAACCCAGGTCAGCTCAAGAAAGTTCCAATTAGACGAACCCCCTACATAGCACCACCTCACTAATTGAGCAGTAAATTCATGCTCAGCAATAATTTCATCACATCATTTATGCACTACTTCTCTTTGCATTATGGCAAAGCTTACAGAAAATACCAGGATGCTAGGTTGCACAGAGCTGACCCATTCGTAGTACCTTTCGTGGGCTTTAGATCCCAGGAGGCAGATGGAAAGTAGCCCCTTCCATCTTTCTCCCCATTGACCCTATTGTCCGCCTCTGGCCAGCACAACAGTGAACAGCTCCAGAATTCCTGTGCAGCTCAGTGAGCATGTGAATTACCACAGAGCAAAGACATACCGTCCTAGCTTCAGACTTTAAAGACGAGAAATCTGAGGTGACCCAAGGCAGTGACTCACTCATCTTTTTCTACTGCAGTCGCTAGCTGCAAACCCAGGACAGTTGCATCGATGCTAAGCGTAGATGAGAATGACTGAGTGAATGTACCACAGGGTCACTGATACTGCAATCTTACCACATAAAATCACACACTCAACAGCCGTTGCCCCATAGCCCTGTATTAATGCTGTCCTTGGTGAGTGGCATGAAACGTTTTGTGCTTGTGGAAGCTACCCAAGAGTACTGGCGCTTGCCCAGAGTGGGCAGGGCTAGCAACACCTTCCTCCAAATGAGAAATCAAGTGGAACACCACCTTCATATCTCTGCCTCCAGTGTTTTCCCCAACAGCTACACAGGGGGATACATATGGAAGGTATCTCTGGGGTAGAATGTGAAAGGAAGTCCTATTCCTGCAACACAGCCCTCCTCCCTCCAAGGCACAGTGGCTGTCTCCTTACAGAAGCTTCACCCGCCTAAGTCATATTAACCTAATCTCTGAAGGAAGAAGAGCCAAGTCAGAGGCTCGCAACAGTCATCTGCATCTGTGTGGTATTCATCGTTACACGTCAGTTTGAAATGCCCCGACACTCCTGGCAGACTGCCACCTCCAGTCCCTTGTCTTTGAAGCCTTCCCTGTCCTCCACCTTTCTTGTCCTTGCCTCATTTTTTTGTGAGGGGTGTAGGGGTGAGCCCCACAAAGCTATCCCCGCCCAGGAGCCTGTGAAGCTCTGCTCTGAACTTGGTCTAAGGTGTATTTGTACACATTCATACTGATTTCAGATTTATCTTTACTTACATATCTCTTAGCAGACCACACGAACACCCACTAGTTATAGCCTAAGTGAATTTTAAAAACCTAATGAGATTTTTTAATGACTATTTTAAATGAAACTAGACCTGTCTGCGTATGAGCAGATGATCAGTATTTCTGGCTGCTGCTCCCATGTCAGCCATCTCTGTCCTCTCCAGGCCCTGGTCAACTCTGAGAGTTCCTGAGTCTTTCCTTTAGCATCCAGCTACTTTAAGCAGATAAAGCCCTTTTCTCTTTGTAGTCACTAACTCTTCCATGCAATAGCATTGAGACCTCTGGTACATTTCTGTGCTGGCTCCAACTCAAACACAGAGATTCAAGAAGCTCCAGTTCTGCTCACAGGCTTCCTTTTCAGAGGAGAGTGGTCAGATTAACAAGAAAGGCTGTTAGCAAGTGTCCCTTTTCCCTGTGAGACATCCACATTTTAATGGACCAGAAAACCTTTTGCTTATTTGATTAGTATGTGTCAGACTACCAAGGCCAGAACCTCCCTCAACCCCTGGGAATTGGCAGCTGAATGCC